AAAAAAAGAATCAAGTAACTGGAAAGCACTAGTTGTTATTAATAAGACTAGAGGACCCACAATTCACTTGAAAGCTTAAGAAATAAGGAGGGGAGAAAAGAGACCGAAAGACCCAGAGTGAGTCCCAGACTTCTTGCTTCAACAGCAGGGTGAATGATGATACCAAGGGTAAACTTCGGGAAATTACTAGCTTAAGATTCATGTTGCCTTTAAATTTTTACTCTTGTTTAATTCAAATTGCATTTCATCTTACTACTCATTCAAAGTTACAGTCTTTTACAGTATACTCTGTGAGTCTAGAGATACAAACACAGTTTTTTAAAGCCCAGAATCCTACAGTAATGTGACTCTTTCATTCTGGACAGCAGTGCAAGTACCTTTGAGGTGTGAGAGGAAAGGTATGCATGACTACGGAAAGATGCTTGTCCTTCACCGTCAGGTGGAAATAATGAGAAAAGCAAATGACATTCTAGATGGTAGAAGCTTTCCTTTTTCCTTTGAAAAGTAATGAGTGTACACTGTCTTTTGTTTTTTCTTACTGAAATGAACATGCTCTTCAGAAACCTAACACTTGATTGCTGATATTAAACCTTAGGACCAAATGAACAAGAGGCAAGATCAAAAGAAAAAGGAGAAAAGATATTACTTGCTACCACAAGAGAAAGAAAAGTGAAAGCAAAGGAGTTTTAACTTTTGTGTGGGGGAACCAATTACAATGACATGAATAAACTTAAATATCTTCCAAAGAAAGCCTTCGGGGCTTTTCATAAACATGGAGATATATATATTATAAATCTTACATTGGAGAATAACTGAACTATGCTTAAAAATGACACATTCTGTCATGTGTAAGTTTTAAATGGAGGAGGCATTGAGCTTTGCAGCTCCTTTGAAAATTTTCTGTGACACTTCCAGACAATGGACTCGAAAAAAGAATAAAAGGTAAGACACTCTGAGTGGAAAACCCTTTTATCGGCATATGGGAAAATGACATTATTCATTTTCACACCTAAAAATATTTACTACAACCACAAATTTACCCATAATTCCCTTGACCACATCTGTTTTATTCAGACTTAAAAAGTAAGAATGAATGCCTATTTTTATTTTATTTACAACAAATAACAAATATTCTCCATGCCCTCCAATTAGGTTACTGAAGCTTGACTTAGGGATTATTATAGTAAGTGCAAATTTAATTCAGACCTTGTGTTTGTGATAGTGAATATAATTATAAATGGCATCAATTTTTCAAGAATGCCATTGGGGTAAAGAAAAGGAGAGAACAAAGGAAGCAAGAAGAAGGATAAATAAAAACAGGAAAAAACACACAATATAATATTCTTGTTTCAGAATTTCTCTTCTATCTTAAGAGATCTCTTGCTAGAAATGGTAGGGAGGGTGAGGGATAGAGAGAGATTGGCTAATAGAGACCAAAATTCAGTTAGAAGGAATGAGTTCTAGTCTTCTGCACACAATAGGGTAGCTACAGTTTACAACAATTTGTTATGTATTATTTAAAGAATGAGACAAGAAGAGTTCAAAAGCTCCAAACACAAATGAATGATTAAATCTCTAAGCACATGGAAATGCTCATTGCCCTAGTTTGATTATTATACATCATACACCTGTATTGAATTATCAGAGTGTACTCCATAACTATGTACATTTACTGTGTGTGAATTATAAAATAAATTTTTAAAATTAGGTGGGTCTCTAATTTTGCCATTTGCATGCAAAACTTACCAGATTAAACTGCTCTGTGCTTTACTAACAAGTACTTAAGAAAATGCTAAACTAGATGCAAATGTCTAAAAACTGTGTGCGAGCACAAATCACGGCACCCACCTCTGCTCTGTTATCAGGGATGGGGATGGCTAGCAGCTTGTCGATGCTTGTGTTCGACATCCCTGTTGTTCTCCTCAGTTCTTCTTTTAGTTCTTCAACATTTTTAAACATTTCTATTAACTGATCTGCAAGAAAACATGTACACAAAATCCACATGTAAGATGTAATGTTATTTGATTAGTCATAGCAACATAAAGAAACCTTCTAGACGAAAGTATATGCAACACATACTCCTTGTCGGAAACAGATGTCTCCGAGTTCTGGCAAACTTTGCATCTTTAAGATCTATTTTTATCTAATTTAGGCTTGTTCTGATTATGACAATCATTAACTCAAGATAATAGATCACTCTGGATTGTAAATTTTCCTAAGGTGTCTAGCACTCAAGGTTGATTCAAGGAAAATATGGACTCCTCATAGATTTTTATCACACAATGCACTGAATAAATATGTCTGTTTGATTTAAAACATCACATAATTCAAAACACTTTTTAACCTGGGATCAAGTGCTATTATCAGTTTAGGACAAGGTTTGATAAATCTGGAACATAATGGTACAGAGCATTTTTCCTTAACTTTGCATAGTACACCATAGTTTATAAATAGTTTTCACAATAATTGTCTCACTTTTAAATGAATTTTTTTGTTTGCTTTTTTGAGACAGGTTCTCACTACACAGTTCCAGTTGGCCTGAAACTCATAATCCTCCTGCCTCAGCTTCCTGAATGCTGAGATTACAGGCATGTGCCACCACACCTGGCTCTCATTTTAAATAGAATGTTTAACTCCAAATTCTTTTAGGACAGCTGTTATAGTTATTTCATATCTGGGTTATCTATGGTACAAAAAACACTATTTGGACTTTATTTTAGCCTATTATAATCTCCATTCTGCAAATTACTTTTAATTTCTTTTATTAAGTATCCTTCATGCGAATGTGCCTTCTTTATTTTTGGACTTTCTGTCCTTGCACTTTGGTGGCTGCCTATTGTCCAGAATTTGGAATGCCTTTCTTTTCAGTATTGAGGTATTATGCAAAGAAGAAATGTATTGTATGATGCATCGTGTTCAGAATACTAATAGAAAGTTCTGAATTGAAATTTCTGCAGACAGCAGTGCATCTTTTTATTTTTTAATCAGATTATTCTCACAGAGGCAAAGAAATGTCCTTGCTCATGCAGCTAACTATGCAACTCACTTTAATATATAAAACAAACAAGAGGTGAACAGTGTAACTAGTTAAAGTTTGAAGATCTTTTTGCTGTGAAATCACATTTCCCTGCATCATTCTCTACTTGTTTTCTGTACGTGCGTGTGTTTTTTAAGACAAGTAAACATGTTTAAAAGCTTCTCATGTGAAAGAACAAATAGAAAAATGGGTTTGGTTGGGGACCTCAGGAAAGATTGTCTTAAACTGCAGCATGAGAATCACAGGCATTCTGATATGACAGCATTTAAGGTCCAAGTGAGGGACAACCTGGCTGCTCAGAAATGATTGCGCTGTTATTGACATGCAGCAAGGCCTCGATGGTTGGTATTAACTGTGTGATATTTTCCAAGTAATTCATTTGTAATGCCTCTTCCAGGACCCTGGAACAAAACAGAAGAGAAGAAGAAATTCAACTAAGCAGAACAACATTTTGAGAAGATATTTCACCAAGGAACAACACGATGGAAAACTTACCGATCCATATTCAAATTAATTTTGTTTAGGTCCCCAGTCAGCAAGTCTCTCAGTTTTTCAGATATAATATTGTCATGGTACAGGAAGCTGGCTGCAATGTCGGTGCCCAGCTCTGCTGCTTCGAGAAGTTGCACATGAAATGCACTGTCTTCACACAGACTCCCAAAGCTCATATTAGACAGCCAGCAAGAGTTCTCTATTGAGTTGAAAGTTTCTGATTCACAAAGGAGCTCAGTCAAATTTCGAAGTTGAGATAGCTTTCCAAGAGAGGAAAGAATGGGGATAGATTAATTAAATTATTTTTACATAGCAATTGAGAAAAAAACAAACAAAATTGATTCACTTGAAATAAATTCTGCATGCATAATTAGTTAGTTGGCATTTGGCATTACTTTTATTACAAAGCCCTCTTTTCTGCCATTTGAGTTTGTTGTCCTCTTAAGAACTTTGTAAAGATCTGGACCTTTTAGATCTGGGTCTGTCAACTACAAACCCACAGGTTTAGAAAATGTAGTTTAAAAAAGAAGAAAAGCAAAAGGGCAAAGTAGTTTGGTGTTACCCAATTTGAACCACAAACACTTTAATTTTATATTTTAATTTAAATTTTAAATCACAGGCAAACAACAAGAGAAAGTAGGTTTGCTTTGAAACTTTACAAAGCTCTTTTGTCTTCCATTGGGACAAATATGATCAAAACACCAGAAAGTAACAAGTGTTTAATAGGATGTGGAGAAGTTATAGCACTTGTGCACTGCTGCCAGAATGTCAATTGGTATAGCTACTCTAGAAGACAGTATGGCATTTCCTCACAAAATTAGGAATAGATTTACTATACGACCCAGCAATTCCATATCATGGAATATTTCACAGGGAATTAAAAACAGGATCTTGAGATACTTGTACACTGATGTTCACAGTACCACAACCCATAATAGTCAAGCATCTATCAACAGATGAAGGAATAAACAAAATAGCATTTTATTTTAAGCCTTAAACAGGAAATTCTTTCTCATAATAGAACATGAATGAATCTTGAGGATACCACAAGTGGAACAAATATTGTGTGATTCTACTTATCTGAGGTACCCAGGACAGTGAAATTTATAGACACAAAAGTAGAAAGGGGGCTATGGGTTCACAGTGTCTGAGGGGAGGGAGAAATGAGGAGATCTTCAGTGGTGTAGAGTTTCAGTCTTACAAGATGAAATGTGTTCTGGAGATTGATTGCACAACAGTGTGAATGTAACAAACACAACTGAATCATACAGTTCAATTGGTTATAATGTAAATATTTTTTATGGTATTATATCACAATTAAAAAATGGAAAAAATTTTTTAAAAGCTTCCTTAAGCTGAAGCATGAGAATCACATACATTCTGATGAGATAATATTTAAAATATGGATGGAACCACAGCCAGCTTTTTCCAGTTTCTCCACTATAGGTATGTAATCTCCTGCTTTCTTAGTACTGAAGGAAACTAAGTGCTTTTGTCTGATAGAAGTGCTTTAAGTTAAAAAATCCCAAAACCCCGAGGAAAATGAAAATCAAATAATTTTCTAAGCTATCAACTATATTTTTCTCTATGGTTCTGAATACTCTGTATTCTGAGGATCTATTCCCAAGTGGATATATCCTGAGGAAAAAAGAATATGCCTCTGGAAAAGCCAGCTATCATACCTAAAAGCAACCTTACAGCTATTCTTTTTAAGAAAGCAAATAAATTGGAACAATGTCTAAAGAAACAAATACATTGTCATTCATTGTAGCTTATTGTCCAATCAGAAGTTATATTTTACAGAAATGAAATATTTCAGGATACAAGCATGAGCATGGGAATATTTGTTTCCATATATGAAATGAGAAAGGCACATTGGTGTGTCTTTAATAAGAAGTTTACAGTAACTATACGAAGGCCATAGACATTAATCATTGATCATCTTAGATAGACATGTCATTAGTCTATTTTCCACTGTAATTAACATTATAATTGACTCAGCTTGAAAATAACTAAAATGCCTTTTTATGCGTGAAAATTCTACTTATTGGTTTTAGGGCTATATGAAATTTTCCATTCTGGAATAGACCCAATCATATTACCAACTGTAACTACATGTTTACCCCGCTATTCTTTTGCTTAATTTTCTAGATAGCAGATACAATTAAATCTTTAACAAAGGGAACCAAACCCCTGTACAAGGTCTGTCTGTTTTTTGCTGTCTGTTTTTTTGGTGCTTTCTTAAATAAAAAAGATAAATATTGTTGATATATTTGTTCTCCTTTGAGAGTATAGTAAAATTCAAGTAGAACTGAAATATAGTTTTTAGTTTCAAGTTTGACATCCATGTATGGGAAACCAGTAAAAGTCCATATAGTATAGTCCTAGATTGATGAGATAAGATTTAGTGAAGGAGAAGTTGGAAACCTGGCCACACTGCTGAAGTTGTGTTGTTTGTCTTAAATAAGAGTATAATCAGGGTCAGTGACATGAAATGCATTGAGTAGCATAGCCAACAAGGAGCAACGTTCAGTTCGCTTAATATTTGTCATCACTATTTTCTAAGAGCAATACATCCATTAAATTTTTAGAAGCTACCTGGATCATTCATAAGCAATATAAAATCAGTGTAAGTAATTAATATGAATTAAAAGGGTGTGTCTACTTCAGTTTATAGATTGTCAAAGCCTTATGTACAGGCCCCGTTTCCTTTATCACAAGAGGGTTTCAGTCTTATAATTGGGTAATAATCTGGAACTAACTCCATTTCAAATACAATGGAATTCCCCAGGGCTTACTGGTTCCCAAAGCCATCTGAATCAGAATTCTAATTGACGTGAGCATGAAAACCTCACAATATCATGGGTCTAATGCTATCACAGGTATATTTGTGGCTCTTGAAAGGTAAGAGGAGGAGGAAAGGATCTATTTAAAAATGTAGTGTTACAATAAAAAATAGCATCTATTTTTCTGTTCAATATAGGGAATAACTTTCTTGTTTGGTACTGGGTATTGAACTCAGGACCTTCTTCACACTGAGCTAAAAGCTACTTCCATACCCCCTGCCTTTTAAGGCAGGGTCTCACTATGTAGTGCAGATTGGCCTTAAACTTGCTATGTAGCTCAGGCTGGCCTCAGATTCACAATGATCATCTTGCCTCAGCCTCCCAAGTGCAGGGATTATACACATAAGCCACCAAGCCTGCTCCATAACCCTTTTGTAATCTTTTATTTTAAGACATGGCCTTGGGGGGCTGGGGATTTAGCTCAGCAGCAAAAGCGCCTGGCTGGCAAGCGCAACGTCGTGAGTTCGGTTCCTGGTACCGGAGAAAAACCAAAAAAAAAAAAAAAAAAAAAAAAAGACATGGCCTTGGTAGATTACTAAATTGTCCAGGCTGAACATCAGTATGCAATCTTCCTGCTTCAGCCTCCCAGCATGTTAGAATTACAAGCGTTCAGTACCACAGCTGGGAAAACAATCTTCTGCTCTGTTCCCCAATCAGGAAGTTCTCTTTCCTACTGAATAACTGGAGTGAAAAAATACATAAAGCAAACAATGGAAGGAGAAGCTGAAAAAGGACACAATATCCAGGCTAGAGCAGAAGGTGGGGGAAGAAGGAAAGATCACCAGAGAATGACAGGCATCTGGCATCTAGGAGGACCTAAACTGCCCCCATAGGAACATTATGAACAAAGTTTTGGATTGAGTGTGTCCAACTGACCATGGCAGTGGGAATACACATTACCAAGGCAGGCAAAGGAGGGGAATGAAAGCAACCTGGTGAAACTGTCGGAGTTTGTCTTCGTATCTTCCTGGGTACTGAGTGTTTTCTATACATTGGGCTCTATCACAGGACCTGACAGTGTAGAGACAGCTAAAAATGTTTTTCATGGAGTATAATCTAGAACTGAATGGTTCTGTCAGTTTCAAAGAGCTGTCATGCTTGTTATAAATGGAAATGCATATTTTACCCAAGGGACAAAAATTGTAGTTTACTTCCACTTTTGTGGCTGCCATGCAGAACTATTTTTCATACTGTAACTCTCAAGGCAAGCATTATGTTCAGATTGTGGGTGGTGTTGTAAACTATCATCAGTCCCATTCCCACTCCATTAGTATCAATGATAGGAAATGGATTAGTTCATTTCCTGAGCGTGTATTGTGTGCAGCCTGGTTCCTTCCCAGGTAAAGAACTGTGATGAGTATTTGCCCAAGGAACGGTATTACATCATGAGTGCTCTACTTTAACACCTTCTTTGTTAAGATATTCACAATCAAGTGTTAAGCTCCTACTACGTGCTAGTTTGTTGGGTATTAGAGGTAAAGAAGGCATAGCTTTATCACAGTTTACACTCTAGTAAGGAAATAAATCTTGTAGATTCAACAAACCATCATATCAAGTAATGAACCAAAGGTCAGAAATCTCAGTCATTAGAGATTCATTTTGCTTATGCTTTATATCTCGTCAGCAGCCATGTCATGTCAATCTGATGTCCTACATTACTCTTGAAGCTGTCCCTTCTTTTTTTCACTGCTGATACTGTGTAGGGCCCCTCTTTTTGCCTAGAATATTGCCAAAACAGCCTACTTAATTTTCATCCAATCTTATCTCCATAAATTTTCCCAGAAAAATCTCTTCCTAAAGTGGAAATTTATCTCCTTCAAATTCACAACTTTCCAGGATCAAATCTTAACTCCTCCTCCTCCTTTTCCTCTTCCTCCTCCTCCTCCTCCTTCTCCTCCTCCTATTTTTCTGAGATGAGGTCTTTCTGAGATGATGAGGAGGAGGTCTTGCTATACAGTTCAGGCTGGCCTTAAACTTACAGCAATCCTGCTTCAGCCTCTTGAGGGCTAGGATTATAGGAGTGAGTCATCATGCCTGGTTTAAATTCTAACTTCTTGATTAAGCAGAAAGAGGTCTTTGGAATGTGGGCTCAGCTTCCTTTCACAGCCCTCTTTCTTGCCTTCTCCATAGACCTTCTACTTCAAGTAGACAGCCTTCAAGACTCAGAGTTAGCATTATCTCCTCTACAAAATTTCTGCTCCTCACTTCTATAGCTACACTCTGAGTTCTATATTCCGTCTCTACACATAGGATCCTGTCCATCACCGTCACAGCTGTTACCTCACTGTGTCAAAATTGCTGATCTGCATTTCCAGCTCCTCTCTTGGATTGATTATAAGCACTCTGAGGTTAGAGAGCATGTCTTATAAATAAATAGATTAGAATTATAGAAACCCAGATAATGGATGGAAAGAATAAATGGATAAATATTACAGGAGCACAGATACCAAAGTTAATATCCTTGCTGGGAAACAAGCAAACAAAAAGCAATAGTACAGTATTGTAGAAGGAGTGATATTTAAATTGGTCCATGAAAGATGAGCAGGAATTTGCTGGATGAATGCATAACTTCTTTCTCATTTGCACAAATTAAAATAATGCTAAATTAAGTACATTAAAAATTTTGATTCATGGAGAAGACTAGGGCTAAAAGGTAGGTAATCTAACTAGCATAGTTATTTGTGATATACATGGACATAATGTTTTGCATGCCTGCTTAATTATAAGATGTTGGCTATAGAGCAAATCATCTTGCTTGTCCTGAATAAACCAGTTCTAATTTTACTTTATTCCTGGCTACATAAATCCAATTAAACTGCTGTTCTTATTAGGAAAGCTGTTTTCAAAACTTAATAGGGTAATTTAAAAAGTGAAGTGAATTTCATGATAACCTGTATATTCATGAGCTAAGCAAACAAACAAGCATAAATTGATTCAAACTTAAGAATTAAAAAATTCTGGGTCACTTTCCCCCCATTTTCAATGCATTCTGCTATACCCTACTAGTTTCTATTTCTTATGATAATAATAAAAACTAATCAACTTTAAAGAATTTTTACATGGTAAAGTCAAAATATAGCTTTGGAAATCTTTGTAGGTTTAAATACCAAAGTCATCCCAAATTAGAAATAGTGTTATAAATCCGTTTTCAAATTATGAAGCTTTATCAATATAACTATACTATTACCTGCTTATATATGCATACACTGTAATTAGACTTTTATAGATCATTTTTGTGTAGAGATCTCTGCTGATTAAAAACAAACACCATTATATAACATCGAACACGTATCACCCTTTTTCTAGCATAAAGCTAGAGTCAAAATAGGATTATTATTAGCAAAAGTCAGAATTATAATTTAAACTAAAATCATCTTATCAAAGTTTTCTAGGAAGTGTGAATATTTATTTTTTTTCTTTCATTGCTTACTTTTGATTTTATGATTTCAGGAACTGAAGGGAAGTAATCCTCATAGGAACCATTTTGAAGAAAAGATTTTTTAAATTGAATCGTGGACTGCAGAAGTCTTAGATTTTCTGTAGAGGGAAGAAGAGTTCCTTTATTTGAATTGCAAGGTTATTTGAGAAGTACATATGAAAGACACATTTACCCTAATTTATTACTAAGGCTTTTTTAACATAGCCTAGTTAAAATCCATAGAACATGGGTGAAAATTCAACCTTTCCTTGAACTATAGCACTCATTGTTTGAATAATATTCATAGACATTCTGCTTAGAGATTGAAAAATGTCTAGCAAAGGTGCTCTATGTTCTTTGTTCGGATTTTTTTTTTCTTTTTTCTTTTGCAGGACCAGGGATCAAACTCACAACCTTGTGCTTCGCAGGCAGGCACGTACACCACTGAGCTATATCCTCAGCCCAAGAAGAAAGGATTCCTAGACCGGGAAACGAACCCGGGCCGCTGTGGTGAGGGCACCAAATCCTAACCACTAGACCACGAGGGAGCGTCTCAACCAACTCCTAAGTTAAAATATTTGGGTGGAAAGAGGTTGTGTAATGACTCTGATATAAGTATGCCCTTCCAACCTTGATTAATTCATTCATGGTAGACAAAGACCTGGCTTATGTTATATGTTGTGCTATTTACTTGCCATAAAGTTTTGAAAAACACTTCTATGTTAAAAAAAAAGAAAAGAAAAAGAAAGGATGTGCTCCTCCTAGAAAATGTGAGAAAATAGATGTTTTCTCTTTTAAAAAAATTTTTTAAATTGACTTAATTGTAATCTTCACAGTTGTTCATGTGGGCAAAAATGAGTGAGGGTAGAAAATAAAACAGTTTGTAACAAAAATGCCTTTGTTTATGCAATTTTCATCTGCTTTTGGAGCTCTGTATTGGCAGTCTTCCTTATTACTTTGACAACAAAGTCTCTTAAAGGCACAGAAAATGTTTACAAGGGCTATGTGAGCCCCTGATGACCCTGGATATTTGGAAAGTTCACCTAGGTGGCCATTATTACATTATCCAGTACGCGGTGATTATATCGATGTTTGACCAGGTGACCTGCTGGCACTAGTAGCAAGAACAGAATAATATAATGATATGGGCAAATATTTCCTACATATCAAATTACCAAACTGAAAAAATGGTTGTTTAAAAAACTCTTTCTTTGGTAAGCAAGTTTCTTAGACTACAAAGTGTTAGAAAAGAAACAGAAACCATGAGCGAAGTTGTACTATTAATACGAGTATTACCTGGTGCCCCTCTGGCCAAATTGTTAGTCACATGTCTCACACACGCCAAGTAAGGAAAATATGGACTATTAGATGATATATTTAAGATGGTGTCTTCGAAGTTTTCCAGGATTAGTAGCCTATAGAATTAGAAAAACATTTATAAGTTAACTCCTCTGAAAAGAAAACAAAGTCATTTTGTTGAGTTCGTGTAAGTCAAAGGTTGTTTGGGGGTGTTAACTTGGGTATTGAAATGCAGCAAAATGGTACATTTTCCTCCCACAAGCCTGACCACATGATGGAAACTATTCATGATTCTCTGAGCATTTGCCTTCTTCGCAGGAATTCTGTTTTTAATTATTTTAATATTTGTTCTCAAATTAATCACATGAAATTGGCTGCCATGTGAGGATATAGCCCAAGGTTTCTGAAGCATATCTAAGTGAGTGTTTGTGTGTGTCTGTGTGTGCCTGCTGTGGTGATGTGTGCCCTATCGCTTCAATTGTGAGACCGCATCTCTGTTTTGTAGCTTCTTCCCTTAGCATCAACTTTTGAACATTATGTACAATAAAGGAGGGGACTAAAGGTCCATGTTTGATTTGAGAGCCATCTGCTTTGAATAAAAAATATAATTTGCAAATTAGCTAGTCCTATCAGATGGTTAACTCAGATTTTACTAAACTACTAGTGGGAGAGATGTAACCTGGCATAGCTAGTCAATGCAGGAACGCGTTCAACTTAATATTAAAGAAGTCTCAGGGTCTTTAGATGTGAGTTAATGACACTGGATCTTTGAGGAACATAAAAAGGAAAACTTCAGTGGCAAGAAAAATCCTTAATACAGCAATAAACTCAGAGTATAGTGCTTATATGCCTGACTGTTATTTAAATTAAAAAAACCTTCAAATTTTTTTAAAGAAGCACCAATTCCAAAAGCCCTGTGCTTTTTGCTTAGGTATTTCATTGAATAGACTGTAGACAAGCATATATTTGGTTGCCTTAGACCTTTAAACTCTCTGACAGTTAGTCTCATTAATTTTCAAAGAGTTCTTATAGGTAATCAATGCCATTTATCAATTTAAAAATAAAGGACAAAAGAACATATTCTTCAGATAAGATTTCTGGCCAAAAGAAAAGAATGTATCAGGTCTAAATCACATCATAACTTATTGAAAACCCATTAGGAATATGATAGTTTAACCATACAATAGCAGTCATTTCTCATATAGTCAAGTTTCACGGACTATCCCACTGTTTGTGACATCAGTAGTCAAAATGAAATCAAGGTCACGATACTCACAACCTAAGATAAAAATTTCTCCCAAAACTACCCTAAGACAAAACCCCTTGAGCCAATGTTTTGGCACATACAATAGCTTTAAAATTTTTGAAAGAAATTAGAAGCAGTCTAAGAAAGAAGATACTAAGGTAAAGTAGAAGACGTGTTTTTATAATCCAAAATATCAAAGCACAGACAAAATGGAGCTATGGCAATAATTATAAATTTACTGTGTAATTTTGTTGTGGAAGTACTAATCCACTTACTTTGACTACAGTAGTAAGTATAAGTTTAAGATAAATTTATGTGTCCTGTGAATAACTTGAAGGGATTGCAATCCATTTAATTTTGTATCCTACTCTTCCCTCACTCTGACAGGCCTTCAGTTTTACAGTTGCATTGAAAGCAATGAATGGTAAATATATAAATAAAAGAGATCTGAGAAGCTGCAGATATACTGGCCATTTATCTGACATGTAGTCAACAGGGTGTCTCTGAATAGTATATGTGGTAGCTGCCTTTTCTTAGTGAGATGGTCTCTCTCCCCCCCACCCCTCTCTGGCTTTCTCTCTGTCTTTCTTTTTTTCTGGTACCGGGAATCAAACTCATGACCTCCCACTTGCCAGGCAGGCACTATGCTGCTGACCTAAATCCCCAGCCCCCCTCTCTCTCTTTAATACCGACTTTCCTATTCTTCTGTTTGTTTTCCTCTCTGTTACAGTTATTAGTACAGAGCCAGTTCCAAAAGGGTATGGTGCTCAGCAGTAAAACTTTGACCTAACCTTTCCCACACACTGGAGCAAGAGATTCCGATAGTGTATTAGGAAGCTTAGAATAGAGAATAATTGGACTTGAAGTGACCTCGAAATATCATTTAAGCCCTTCTTTTAAGTTTTAAAGGGAATATTTGATTGTCAAGATATTTGAGAATGTATTCAATATATTTTAAAAATTAAGATTCCATGTGTACATGTTCACATTTTGTCATAAACACCCAGCAAGTCCTTTAAACTATTCAGTTTGTAGGCCCTTTATGCAAAACCCTGCCTACTTCACAAGAGTGCTTACAATAAAAGGTAAGCTACTGATGTACACATATACACATGCGTGCACATGATAAAAATAAGGACCTTAGCACAACAATAATGAAGGGGAAGAGCCGTGAGGAGGAAGTATTTTTGAAGAAGAGTTTTTGGAAAATTCTGGACAAAGAAAAAAACCAAACAAGCTTTTATCTTGTGCCACTATTGCTACCCTGTGATTATTTGAAAGTGGGAATGGAAGGGAAGTGTGAAGATAAGAAATCCCTTAATTTCATCAATCACAACAAAAGCCATCTTCAGAGTATTGAATCTCTCCTAATAAACTGTCAGCTGGCTGTCAGCTCCTAACTGCATTTGCTGCACGATTTGCAAGAGTGAAGCTCTGGCCTCGTCAATGCTACGGATGCCTCCGGGCCCTGAGAGAGATACCTGGCATCAGCATTAAACCTCCACTTGTCTCAGAATAAAGGATCTAAAACATTCTTATTATTTTTGATAGCTATATAGGGAACATGTTTAAAAGACCCAACAATTTGAAAGCTGGAGGAAACTGTCCAAGAACCCAGGTGCTCTGGAAAGAGCGCCTGGGTCAGTCACCATAGGAGAGGAGGAGACACAAACCCACGTCCTCCAACATTTATCATTTCTTCACTGTGAAGACATTCAAAACTCTTCCTTCTAGCTTTTTAAAATATGCAGTAAGTAATTGTTAACTGTGGTCACTTTACTCTGCAACAGCACAGCAGGACTTCTTGATCCTGTCATCTAGGGTATTGATTAACTTTTCTCTATCCCCTTTCTCTTTTGTTTTTATTTGGCCAAATTTTCATTACCCCAAAAACATATTTTGGAGCATTTATGAGGCTAAAGCAACATTTATCTAATAGCCCATCCAGTCTGCAAATTTGCCTTGAACTATAGGAATTTGCCTCAGTGAGCTACTACAAGGCACTAGCTGTATTTCTACCCAAATTATCAGGCATCTGTTTCCATTAACGACCTCTAGACATCATGGTTACTGCTGGCATTTCTACAGCCTACCGTTGGAATTTTTTATATCTCAATAAAAATCTAAACTCAAATGATCTATAGTTTGGCCTACTCAAATATCAATAAAAGCAAGCAAGGTTTGTATTGTCTTCACTGAACATAAAAAGTTTTGATTCTTTAAAAACTTAAAAATAGCAATAAGAAACATTGGGTGCTGCTATGGTTGGAATGTCTGTCTCCACTTGTCCAATTCATATAGTGAAATCATGAATCCCAAGGTGAGGAGAGTGGAGCCCTTGGGAGGTGATTAAGTTACAAGGGCAGAATTCTCATCAATAGGAAAATAGAGGGCTGGGGATTTAGCTCAGTGGCACAGTGCCTGCCTGGCAAGCCTGAGGTCGTGAGTTCGATTCCCAGTACCCCAAAAAGAAAATAGCAGAGCAGAGAGTTGGCTTGCCCCTTCTGCTGCATGAGGATGTAGTGAGAAATAACCATCTATGAAATCTAGTGGGCCTTATTGGACACCAAATCTGCTGGAACCTGGAAAATAGCAGAGCAGAGAGCTGGCTTGCCCCTTCTGCTGCATGAGGACGTAGTGAGAAATAACCATCTATGAAATCTAGTGGGCCTTATTGGACACCAAATCTGCTGGAACCTGGATTTTGGACTTCCCAACCTCCAGAAGTATGAAACATAAATTTCAATTGCTTATATGAAATTTCTATTGTTTTACTGTATTAAACCACCTAGTTTAAAGCATTTTGCTATAGCAGCCTCAACAAGGAAAGACACTTACATATTTATCATGGTGAAAGACTTTAACAGAGTTGAAGGCTGGACCTCTAGGCCTAAAGTAACCAGTGCAGACAAGACATATTGTATCTATTCATGGAGTATTAGGACTGAAAGAGATCCCTGGGTTGTGTATACCAAAAAAAAATCACTGAATAATTTCTTTAAAAATGTTTTAACTTCACTGTGCTTTGGCTTTATCTTTTCTTTTATTCAGTCGATAACTAACTTTTCTATGTCTTTTTTTTTCTCCCCATTCTGATGATTGAACCCAGGGACTTCACACTGACCTACATTTCCAGCCCACTTTTATTTTTAAATTTTGAGACAGGATCTTGTTAAGCTGCTAAATTGCTCAGATTAGGCTCAAACTTGCAGTCCTTCTGCCTCACCTTCCTGGGATGCTAAGATTACACGAGTGTGCGAGCACTCTCAGTTTATTCCACAGTTTTTACACCCTGATAGGAGAAATGTGTCTATAAACTGTTAGGGAATATTCAGCTACCAATTCAAAGACAAAGACTTACTGTGCAGCCAGACTGCTCGGGGACAGCGTCCCTCCGTCATCACTCCACACATGCGATGTGTTCTCAGAGTCACCTAAAGGAGTAATATTTGTACAGGTAAATATTGAACATGTTGGTTTAAAGATTTCTTTCTTCTTCTAAACATCTCAAGTCAAATTACTGGGAAGAAAATATTAAAAACCTGAAAATATTTTCCCAAAAGAATTTTACAAAGAATATTTAATGCTCTTTTTCTTGGAATCATTTCAGATATTTATAAGAACTAGGTATCTATGAATCAAGATAATCTCAATGGTCAAACACGTCTATTTCTAACCAACTTTCTCTCTGTGCTTCAAACCTCTACATTAGTTTGTTCCGTGACCTATTGGCATAGATGTCTCTTAAACACTATAATGAATATTGACCATTACCTGATTTGTTAATCAAACGAGGCCAATTTCAGTTTTACAAGTCACTGGAATTTTTTTTTATTGCCTTTCAGTTGTTTATGATGTAGCCTTAGGAAATACCTGTCATTGATAATCTGTGTTTTCTGTGTTTCAAAAAGCAGCCACTGGTCATGGAAGTTGGCTGTGAATGGAAATTGACTAATGCTAATAGCACTGTTCTGGGGCATCTCAATAAGAAGGTGCAGGGTGTGCGAGGCAATCAGTGAGTTGAATCTAATGAAAACCATATGTAAAGATCTCATTTAATGTCAAGAGTTGCCCCTGAAGTTAAGTGGGTCACTGATTCAGCCTGCTGCATAGGTTGTATACTGAAGGAGTAAGCATGAGACAGCATTCACATGAAAAACAGAAAATAATTCTTTAAATGGCCACTGAATAAATAACAACACCATAAATCCAATACTTTAAGTCAGCTCCTTTAGAAAAACAGTATCACTTGTTTTAATCTTCTTCTCAGACACTACTCATTTCTTATAAATAACTCAGTATGTTTTAATGCTGTCATTTTTAATATTGGCCTCATCCCTTCCTATAGGATATTTTTTTTACCAGTCTCAAGAGTTCTTCCAGTACTTCTTGGTAGTGCATCCTGAAGCTTTCTTCACTGGTCCTAGGGCAAAACTATAGAAGCACCCATGCTTTCCCGGTGCTGATTTTGTTTTATTTAAATTAACATGCATGTAAAGGGCCATCCCAGAATTAACCACCTCATTTACCTTCTGTACCATTTATATTTAGGCAAGCTTTGCTTGGCCCCTTATAGCTATGTGCAAAAGAACAAATTCCAATGAGTCAGAAACGTAATCTCTGCTCCTGAAACACAGTCTTTATAATTAGAAATGCTGGAGTTTATTAACAGAGTAAAGAACTCTCGCTGGGCAGAGTTGAGAATTAGATCCCTTAAGACAGGAAGTTAGAAGGCAACCTTTTCCTCAGATGATTATTAGTAAGTCTATGTTTTCATGGTTGCTAGGAGGCCACCCAAAAAACGCTGAGGTGTGTTCATAATTAAGGTTGGATCAGAAACAGATACAGGAAAGAAAGGCTGTGAAGGAATCTTAATGTGAAGAGAAACAGGATGATTTTGAAAAAAAATATGTCATAGAGGAAAAAGTGCAGCCCAATGAACCAAACTCCATCAGTGTCAAAAAGTGGGAGCAGTGTTTAGTTTGGGTGGTGGCAGGAACCTGAATGCCCCAGAGAGTAAGATGTGAGCAATACCATCTATAAAAGAGCTCAAGGCACTAGGCATTAAGGACAGACAGATCCAAGTTCTACTCTCAGCCTAGATACTCACTGGCTGTGTAACATAGGCGAAGTGCTCAACCTCTTTTGCTTCAGTTTACATCTGTCAAGTAGGATAATATCTGCATGCGATAGGGTTGTTTTGATAACAAAAGGATTTTAATATAATAAAGCCATTAGCCTTGCCATAATACATACTAACCATTATTTTCCTTATTTGAGAGAGTGAAGTGAAGCCTGAAGTTTCTTAACCCTGACAGACCTTAGAGAGAAACCAAGCAACTCTGCTATGAGATACCATCTCCACGCCAACTTCACTGAGGTATAGAACCAAGGGAGATACTGTAATCACCTCAGCAGTACCGCTGCTCACCATGAAAACTAAGCATGCATTGGCCTGGCAGTGCAGCAAATAGCTGTTCTGGCGGCCAGTCCAGAGACTGCTGCCTTGTAATTTAAGTGCCACTGGTTCAAGTTCGAGTTCACCGAATGATTTCCAGAAATATCTAAGGGAAAATTTTCAAAGGTTACAAAATTTCTGCTCAGGTAAGTAGAGGTTGGAGGTTAATGACTTCTAGGAACAAACATAAATGTTATCTGTATTTTTACTCCAGACTGATGAAATCATAAATGCATGAAATTTAAAAGAAATGATACGAAGAAAATGTCTCTCCATTATGATTGATAGAAAGAAAAGTACATCAAAATTTTCAGACAAGAATACATTTTTTTCCAAAGTGTTTCCTCTCATCTTGACCATAGGATGATGCGTTTCAGTACTTGACAAAATCATTAACATATTCAGACGTCAGGCAAGACCATTGTTAAATATTTAAAACTGAATTACATCATTCACCCAGAAAAGTGTCCTACTGCATCATTAGTAGGAAGCGCTGATTACTTGTCTGACTTTTAAGATATAGGTGAGCTTTTGTCCTTTAGAAAAAACATCTCAACTTTATCATTTTATATTAATTAGAAGGTGTGAGTCTGAAGATAAAAAGGGAAAGAACAGTAAGAAGAAATGTGAAATTCTGAAGTCATTAAAATGCAAATATAAAAAATACAGAAGAAAGAATTAGTATTTGTTAGTGCACTGCCTGATTTTCTGGCTAGACTTTTCAAAGAGTAAGCTTTATTTTCTAATGCTCATCAAGACCATTAAATTTAACAACAATCAGTCTCACAAGCTAGTCATTAATTATGTAAACATAGACATAAAAATCTCTAGTCTAATAGAAACCGGTATGCAATTGTACGTTTGACCCTCCAGTGAGAATTCCTCAAAGCCTTCTCACACCTGTTTCTCATATACAAACTGGAATTTTAAGACAAAACAATGAACAGTCAACTTTTGTCCTAATGCTCTCAGGTTGCTTACTTTATAAGGAAAAAGTGGAAGTCCGTATACTTAAAAGCTGACAAACTCAGGTAAGAAACATAATTCTAAATTTATTCAGGAAAGGTAAATGTTAACCCAACATTTTATTTAGGAACTAGGAATTTATTTCTTATAGCCCTGGACTGTTGTCTGCATGTGCCTGCATGTGTATCTTCCACGTGCTTCCCTGTGCAGAGGGGTAATGCTGTTCTACAGAGGCAAAGGTGATGTTTCCTGACTTGTGAGCAACTTGCTGCACCTTACCTTCCTGGGGGTGACTGGGACTCACCGGTGTAATCACGGTGAGGTGCCCATCATGCATTTTCAAGATAGTTACTTGAGGGTGTATTTTTTACAAAAGCACATTCTACTAATTTTTTAAAATTGAAGTTTAGAAATGGCAAAAATCTTGTAATAAGAATGTGGTTCCGAAAATCTATTCATTGAAGTTTGCTCTCTGATATTTATTGTCCATCCCAAATTTAAATACAGTTTTATAAGCTCCCAATATTCATTTTCTTTTTTTTTCTTATTTTAAAAATAAAAGGAGGAAAATATTAACAGACAGACAACATTTTACAAAATAGCAAAGGAACAGTACAGACAGTACGGAGTTACAAACAAAGTGGTAGGGAATTAACAATGCTTGTTGTATTACATATTGATATCTTCAAAGTGGTTTCTCATGTAAACAGATATAGACATGTAATGCCAAGCATCATTTTCATATAAGTAAAAAACCTAGAAAACCTTTTCAGCCATTTCTCCCTTTCTTTATACTGCTGCTAGAGGTCCAGATTTATTTGTAGCCTATGTCCCCATCTAAGAATAATATCTAAACATGAATACTGCAGTTACACTCCGCTCTACATGTCTAATGGGCTTTGTGATTCTGAATTTAATACAGTGAGATGGGAAGAGAATACCTTGCACTGGGGAGTCGAGAGTGTAGAGCAGATGTTTAAGAGACTTCTGCAGGGCTCTGAAACCTTCGTTAGCTTCAACCCGGGGATAAACCTTCTGCAGGGCCAGCAGCGCCCTAATGAGTGAAAAAACAATTACACCAGGTTGTGTTTCAAGGCTTGTAGTCAGAAACAAAAGGGAATTCAAGGAGAAAATGACTGTAGTATAGAAAATTATTCCGAAAAGATGCTGCTTTTGTAATTTAATTACATGTTTTCTGTTGACACACAAAATCCCAACAAAAATCTTCCTGAACCAGAACGGAGAGCTTTATGATTCTGGGATTATGAAGCTTCAGAAGGCAAAGACTTTGAAATAAAGGAGGAAAGTTCCCATCCTCTCTTTTCTGCTAAGAATTATAAGCAAGTAGTTAGGAAAAGCAACTTGCAGTGAAAGGATACCCTTTTGAATTAAAGGAATAAAATAAATATTAGAAGTTATTTTCATTAAAAATCAAACTCAGATAAAGAACCCCATTTTCAGGAATAGTTATTGTTCAAACATCTTATAAACATTTATCTTCTGCTAAACATATGATAGTATTTTGGAAAAATGGATCTTTCCTGAATTAATAATGGTATTTTATCCTTGAAGATGCCAAACAGCACTAATCCAGAGATAGTTCAAAATTCATTTCCATACTAACTGGCCCTGTCTTTTTTTAAAGAGAAAAAAACTAACAAAACAACAATAATGAAGACAAAAACAAAAACATCACAGAAACAACAAAAACTATACATGACCTCAAAACAAAAATGATAGGGATTAACAATGGTTGCTACACTACATACTGTTATCTTCAATGAAGTTGCTCAGTCCACCAGATGTAAGAATGCAAGACTGATCACACAATCAATAACAAGTAATAAAAAAACATGGAAATGATATAGAGCTGCACCATACAAGATGGTAGGAATTCAACAATGATTCTCATACTGCATATTTTTGTCTCCAAATCTGTCATTCTGATTACCAGATACAAGCGTGCAAAATTGGTGAAGAAGAAAGAAAATTTTAAGCATTAACTGTTCCTTTCAATAAACCACAGACATCAACAATACACCTATCCCAGCTATCCTTGTATAAACATATAAATTTTGTTTTTCATTTTAAAGAGAAAAGAAAAAAACCCAAAATAACCAAAACAAAGGCACTATCTTCATAGCTTTTCTCTTACCAGTAAGACAGGCAGTCTGCAGTTGGGACAAAGTCAGAAACTTTTCTTTCCTGTGATTTCATTCTATACTTCAAAAATCAATTGACTACTTAAGAAACTTTTTTGCTTACAGGATTATTTTCTGGCTGAACTGAAACTCAAACCCAAGATCTCATGTCCAACAGTCTAGTGCTCTAGAACTGCACTACATCCACAGACATTTTTAACTTTTATTTTGAGATGGGTCACTAAATTGCTCAAACTCAACTCAAACTTTTGATCTCCTGCCTCAGCCTACCCAGTAGTTGGACTTACAGGAGTGTGCACCACACCCAGTTAAGAAATACCTTTTTATCTTATCATTATCATACTTTTACAGAAATGTTGCACCTACCCAAATATGCCTGAATTTCACTAATAATATAATTTATAAAAGTAATCAAGGCTGTGTCAGTGCTTTGAGTGATAACAGAACAAAAGGCTTTTCTTAACAATTTGCCATTGTTAAGTTAAATGTAGTACAAATTAGCTAATAGTTTCCCCGTCAACTGTCTCAGAAAACTGAAAGCTTACTCTAACAATATGTCAAGTATGCGGGTCTGCATCTCAAAGCATTCTATAATATTTTGCAATTTTAAAATTTACTTAAAACCACTTTAATATTTAGTGCCCTGGATAGAAATGAAATATGTTTAGAGCTAAACTTTAAGTGTGCTCTAGTTTCTTTTTCTTTTTTGGTACCTGGAATCAAACTCAGGATCTGTGCTTGCCAGGCAGGTACTGTGCTGCTGAGCTATATCGCTGGCCCCTCTAGTTTTTAATATAGAGATATACATGTAGTTATGTATGCTTAAGTAAATACACATCAATTATGTATGTATGTATATATACATATTTAAATTTGGTTCTCTAATAATTCCATGAAATCAGTTTTATTTGTCCTGTTTTGCAGATAGGAAAACTAAAGTTGAAAAAGTTAAATAACTTATAAAGGTTAACCAGCTGGTAATAAGTAGAGCTGGGGTCTAATCTCAAACCATATGTTCTATACACTCTATGTGTATGCCCTAGAAACTTTGTTCTGGTTTTCATGAAAGAAGAAAGAATATGTATGCACAGAACTCCAAGCATTATTAGCTTATTATACCAGCTATGCTTCTAATGTTTTACCTATCTTTTTCATATCTACTCTTTATATATGACTGTTGGCACAAGGTATTTTTATGCTGACTTCAAGACATTGAGTTGCTTCTGAATCCTAGCAACCATCGGCACCAGTTGAACAGGGTTAATGTGGTACATCTTGGTCAACCTCCTGGCGATGCATTTGGTCTAACTCACCTGATCTGTTGTACCACAGTAATAATTCCAAGTACTTAGCTCATAACAATTTCAATTAAACCAACAGCATTATTGTTCTTAATATGGTTTTTTGTTTTTTTGTTTTTTTTATGGTACCAGGAATCGAACTCATGTCCCCATGCTTGACAAGCAGGCTCTGTGCCAGTGAGCTATATCCCTGGCCCTATTCTTAATATTGTTAATAAAGCATCAGTAATTTGAATATTTCTTTTACTAACAATAATGACACCTGGCCCCCGTCTTCTCTGAAATCCTTTGAACCATTGTTTAAAATATTTTCATTTACTTCATAGATTTTTTTCTTCTTCATCGTACAAAAGGGGAAGTTATCCAAAATGAATCACTTTTGTGCATAAATGTAACTGTTTAAAAGAGTTTGATGATTTATATTTCAATATAGCCTTTCCACATGAAAGGTGAAAAGTTTGCATGATTTTTCATATACTGTTCTTGACTTTTGAGATTGTTCATTTCCATTATTTTCCATCATACCTTTATATTATATAAGCTGATTTTGGTGACTAGCTTGTACATATACAGTCTGTAACTTAAAAAAATAATAGCTGCTAAAGGAAATGAAAGTTTCTATGTGGTCTTTCTGTCTCTTTTATTTATTCAACAAAAAGTAAGATAAGCCAATGAGACTATAACTTGATGATAAAGTACATTTTTGTGAGGAAAGTATATCTTTTAATGACACTGTCAACTTAATCAAAAGTGATGATAAAGATTTGACTTTCAACGAATGTTCCAATAAAAAAGCAAGAAATTTATTTGAATGCTGTAGTAGTTAAAGAAATTTAAAATAAACAATGAAATTAATATACTTTATTTAACCTCATATATCTAAACTTTCATCTTTTCAATATTTAATCAATATAAAATATCAATAAAATATCTGAACCCCTTTATTATACCAAGTCTTCAAATTTCACTATGTGTTTTGTACTTATGAGTATCTCAATGCTAATTCTAAATTTTCCCTGAAAAGTCTTACTCAGTATTTAGATTTTATTAAGTTTACAGATTGAAAGGAAAATTCAAATACTCAAGTTGACCCAAGCATATTTAAAAGTTTTCTGTTAATGACATCTGACCAGGAGCTGGGGATTTAGCTCAGTGGCAAAAGCGCCTGCCTGGCAAGCACAAGGTCGTGAGTTCGGTTCCCGATGCCGGAAAAAAAAAAAAAAAAAAAAAAAAAAGGCTCCATCTGACCATGTTTCGTTTTCTTGGATAAATATCCAAGAGTAGAATGTGCTACAATAGGGACCTATTGCCTCACTTCATTAAAAGATGTCACATGATTTCCCAAATTGCATCTTTTTCTACTCTAACTTGCAATGTACGAAAATTTTAATTACTCTACATTTTGTCAACATTTTGGATTATCCAAATTTTAAAACTGTACCCATTCTATTGAATGTGTAGTGATATCTTATTTGTGGTTTGAATATGAATCTGACCCTTTCTGCACAATACAATTTAAATGATTCCCATTTACCTCTAACTAATTCATCTATTTTCTTTCAAGAGAGAATATAAATACGAGGAAGAAGATCAAGTGTCAAAATTCTGGGTAACCGAAAATTTCTCTAAGAACTAAAACAAGAAGCAATCCAGAGAATTACATGTTGTGCTATCTTCTCCTTAGTACTTCAATTATGTTGTCCCATCATGGAAAGAGCAGAGGATGTAGTTTTGCATTTCTTGAGCTCAGGTCCTGGCTTTGCCTTGTACTAGTAGTTGTCGGACCTTGGGGAGGTCATGTGACCTCCATAAAGTTTTTCCTTCTCTTTAAAATGGGAATCTGTTTTCTCAATCTCAAAACACTATTGTGAAAATCAAATGAGATTAAAGTTCCAATATGGGACTTGTTATAAAGTCTTTGACCAGATATAAGCTCTTAGGAGCATTCCAAAGGTGAGGGCAATCTCTTCTGATTACCACTGAAAGTAGAGTAGAGCATGCTACTAATGACATTCTAGAGAAGCAGCCAAGTTTTGGAGATAGGAAACTGAGGTTCAAATTCTGCTAGCTGCACTATCAGCAAATACTTGACTTTTATGAAACTGTTACCTTATTTATATGATCAATGAGTTTATTTTAAGATTGAATCTGGGATCAGTGATATAGCTCAGTGGCACAGTGCCTACTTGGCAAGCACAAGGTCCTGAGTTTGATTCCCAGTACCAAAAAAAAAGTTCAAATCTAATAATATACTAAGGATCCAGTATATTCTCTGACCTGTGATAGTCACTTAATAATTGATCATTGTTGATGACATTGTTTTCTTTTAATGTACACTTGCAAATTAGCACAGGAATGTCAAAACCTAGGCACTGACCATTAAACTCTAAATTCTAGTCATGCCCAAACTGACTTTATGAGAAAAACAAACTTTATAGTGATTATTTTATAAAAATTTAAATCTTTTAGAAATATATGCCAAAAAAAAGCCAAAAATCACTTATAAACTGGATATACACAAGGGAGGCCAAGTCCCTTGAGGTGACATGGAGCTATTTTATTCTTTGGCAGTTTAAATGACAGATGCAGAGAGCTCAGGTTGTCCTTGAATGAGCCTGAGTCACTGATCCACCCTACCACTGGGTCTGCTATACCTCAGTCTCAGACACTCTGCCATACATGTGACGACACAGCTGTGAAGGAGAGTACTCCTCCACTTCCTTATGGACTCTTTGATGAACTTGATGACCATAATATATGATGCTTTTTTGCTTAACTAACCCACTCGCCTTCATTGCTCCAATCTGCAGTAAGGTGCTGAAAGTTTATTTGCTCTGCAATAAAGTACCTACCTAACAGTAATCCTTACAGGAAGTACTAACAAACACAAGCCTTCTTTGTGAACAATGATATTCCACTTAAATTCTAACATTGTCTTACCTGTTTGCTTTTTGAAGAACATCAAACAGATTGCCTACTGATGTGTCATTCTGAAATACATCTGGGAAACTAGAGAGAAGCTGCCACAGGGCTGCCTGCTCCTGCACTTGTGAAAAGAAGGACAGCACTTTGACTATTTCCTGAAACACCAGCTTCTGGTTAGTGGGATCTCTCGATATCTTAAAAAAATAAAAACAGAGTGAATGAAACTTCAATATTTGTAATCCCATGGTTTGTTGTCATCGAAAGCATCAAACATCTAGATTTGCACATAAGCAGTTTTTTTTTCAAAGTTTCACTCAATTTGAAGCCATCATTTATCTAGAAAAACTGCAATCATTTCTAATATTCATCAACATAATTGGATGTTTTCCCTATAGATCCAGAAATTTGCATAGTGAAAGTTTCATTAACAAAGCTATATTTTGGTAAAATATTTTAAATTAAATGTCAGTAAATCAAAACTAAATTCTTAAAACAAAATTAGCTTCTGAGTAATGTTTTTGTTTTTCCTTGAGACCTGATTTTCTGAAGCTTACTTTTACTAGAGCTTACATTTTTGGGTGGAGAACCCTTAAAACTAATATGTAAACAATTAAGATATAGAAATATGGTACAGATATTTTCATAATATACATTGTATATTATCATATGTAGAAATATATCCACAAAAATGTTTACTATTAGAATTACAAATATGGAATGCAGTAAAATATTTCCAAAGATCTGTTTGCAATGCCGGGCACTTTACTGATAATGAATGACTATTACTGAGTGAACCTGTACAATAATAACACAAACAAAAAAACATGGGTTTTGGTTTTATTCTAGATCATGGGATCCTGCTAGTATTTTCAGAGGTAAAGTATTTTCTTTATTATATTTTGACTCAAAACAATTTTCTTAATAAGCTTATCAGTACTAGTAGAATTGAGCCTTCAATCCATCTTAATTCAAGGTCTTTCATACTAACAAAAAAATTTGGAATATATATTTGACCACACAATCTACTCTTTACAACTGGCAAGTGCGTTAAGAAAGGATTTGAAGTGCTTTGTATTGGATTGGGGTTATTACATAGTGTCTCTACTCTAATTCTTTTGGAAAACTCATACTACTAAAAGGTATTTTTTTAAATTTTAATAAATTTCAGAGAATGAAATTTAAAATACTAGAAGTAGACATGTTTTATTTATTCCTGTGTATAATTTCAAAAGAATTCTTAATGTTTTGATATTTCATTATATGTGGATTTCAATGAGTGTAGATCATTAGTATCTTATTTTCATCAATGTTATTTAAGAGTAGTATGCACCAGTGGTCATTACATCTTATAGTAGATGTCCTTGGTTCTGACGTGTATTATTTTAGTGAGAGGGATATGTAGTTTCATCAAAATTCAGCTTTTGAAAATTAGATTTGAGGTCAGTGAGGAAAAGAAATTATTCTAACTTCTGGTAGTTCTATTGATCTGATAGTTTAATTATTAAACTTGCATTGTACCCTGAGTAATCTCACTTACAGATCTGAGAGAAAACAGTCCATGTTTATTGACCATTCAGCAAAGCTATATTTATTTCATCTACAAAGGTGTGTGTACACTAACTATACTACAATATTTCTTTCTTTTTTTATTTTAAAGAAAGTAGTACATGAGAAACAAACAAACAAAAAAATAGAACAGTAGGAGCATACCAGTATCACGAACATAAACAAATCAAAGCAAGAACATTCAAAGTGATACAGAGTCTTAAGACAAATTAATACAAATCAACAGTGGTTGTTACATTGCATATCGTTATCCTCAACTACATTCATAATGCAATATTTCTAATTTAGCATTGAAATCATTTCAATCCTGCACATTTCAATGATAAGTGAACATGACGTAACATTAAACATTGTGTGCAGATGTCAATGTGAGGAATCCATGCACCATTTCTCAGTCCATGTGAGCTACAAACTCCCTCTCTGATTCATGTTCAGTCATTTTGTAGATTCAAGAAAGGAAACACGCCTGTAATCCCAACACTCAGGAGGCTGAGGCAGGAGGATCGTTATGAGTTCAAGGTCAGCCTGAGCTACAAAGTGAGCTCAAGGCCAGCCTGAACTGAATAGTGAGACCCTGTCTTAAAAAAAAAAAAAAAAAAAAAAAAGAGAGAGAGAAAGGAAACAGTACACCTGTTCCAATTGCTTATGAGATTTGGGTCATATTAAGAGATCTATACTCACCTGAGAGAACTGTTCTTTTAGTTCTTGGAAAGAAGACTCAAAAAGAGTCAGATTGGAAAGGCAAAAGTTGTCAAAGATATTTTTTCCTAGAGTGGGCCAAAAAGAGTTATAATCTGCCCTGTATCTTGGATAGTTCTCACACAGTTCTTTTCGTACATCTTCTGAGGTTGAATTTTCTTTTATCAGCTAAAAATGTGTAAGAAAAGTGGCATGATGTTAGTAAATGTAAATTTTAAAACATCTTACTCTTCAAGAAAAAATAACTTTTCCTCACACTCGCCATTTTAAATTTCTGAATTATTATAAAAACTATTCAAGTAAATAAAATTCACCTAATTTAGACCTTGGAAGGTATGGAGAGTAGGTATGGACATGGTAAGTCTTGATATTGTGTGGTTTAAATGGTTTACATATGATTTGTTTAACTGAATTTACTTCCTGTCTCTGACCAGAAAACTTACATGCACCAATTTTTTGACACAAATATTTATGCAAAAAAATCATTTTTCCTGGGCATTGGGCAGCAGAAACTCAAGTATGTTAACTCTTTGTGATATTTCTAGAAAACTGGTCAGAATTTTTAGATTTCCAAAAGAGGGAGTTTCAAAGATCTATTCTTAGGAACAACTGTGTTTATTTACACAACTGGAAAGATGGATTATGTTTCATTTCAGTCTCATACATAGAAAGAAAAAAGGAAAATATATAAATACAACTGAAAACAATAGTTGACAATTATTTTTATACTACAATCATTATCATCCCCCTATATATCCCATAGTGCAGTTTAGTCACAGGTTCAATAATCTTCATTACCAGTTATTTGTTTAGGTATTCACAGAGTGGACTACATACATTTAGTTGTAGCAGTTTAAGGGTTCCTTGTAAAGATCATTCTTATAACCCTGTGAGGTGAGGCCCAACTTTATCATCCCCTTAAATCTATATCACAAAGTCTACACTCTGCCTTCCAGTGACTGAACTTCTAAATATAATGGAACAAGACAGGATCCACTTATCTAAGATGTACTATAAGTGCTAGACCTTCTAGTCATTCATCCGTATCTTTGTCTAGCGTTACACATAAACTCACTCCCAAGTGATTTCTCTACTCGTTCTTGCAAGAGTTGCAGAAAGCAGTAAAGAAAAAGAGAGAGGAATCTGAGGGATTGCTGACATAGGCAACAATATGTCATCTTACTTTTTACATCCCTTTCTTGCTTCAGCTACTCTAAAAATATGTATCTATACATATAAAACTCATTTCTTTTTTCCTATCTCCCTTGGGTATATGGCTTTGTGCTGCTTCACAAAATTCTGAACTTTCATTCCATATGAAAAAGAGAACTAGGGAGTTTTGACACAATAAAGCTGTACTTTTGAGACTAGTGTTACCATTCTACATATTAAAGAATTTATCTCACCTAATGCAAGAGTTTTCTAGGAACCAATATGGGTCAGTGAATGCAACCGAATAATTTTCCCTACTTTCGAGACTGGCCCAATTTGGAGAAAATTTGAGACTAGAGTTAATTGGGTATATAGAAGAGATTCCTCATTCAGACAGGGAGTTTCAGAAACCTCAAATACTATATAAACTAGACAATATCTGAACTGTGCCCAGTGGAAGAGTCTATCTCAGCCAGCACTCGCAGATTTCCCTGGATGAGTATGGTGTCTTTTCCTGGCATCCACTCTTGTGCCATGTTTTTGTTTATACACATGACCTAGCTTGTTGAGATCCCTCAACTGACAGAATGTTAACTTAAGAGTCATTAACAAAGATAGATTAAGCAACAGTGGTTACAGTTACCAGAATGTGCATAAAGGTCAGTGATGTGTCTCATAATTTAGATGGAAGAAATTGCTGCTACGTAGATGAATTACTAAAATATGTATATAAGTCTGATAGAAGAGAGGGGATAATATTTCTAGTGCACCGTGTTGAAAATTATCAAATGATCTTCTCATCGTTTCTGAAAAGAATGTAAAGCAGGGCTCAATGTCCACCATGCAGCCGAATAATTTCAGTGCATGAATCTGACTGGCTGTGAGAAGGCAAGGTAAAGTGAAGACTGTAGGCAACAGAAGAGGCCTTGTCTGCCTGCAGCCATTCGGATTTAATTTCCTAAAATCCCTGTACACACACATACACGCACACGCTTATACACACATGCATGCACACGCAGAGCACACACACTGAGCTCACAGGCTACCAGTTCATGCCCCTTATAAAAATTATATTTATTATCTTGCAATCTAGGAAATCACAAAGTAATCACTTAGAAATGAAGCCAAATCCATTAGTAAAATCCGGAAAAATGTGCTCAGAGGATTTTCCTACATTGAAGAGATATTCCCCATAGCTCTAATTTTTCCAAAGACAATCTTCATTTGGATGAGTCAGCAAATTCAAAGGATGTTAACGCTTCGGTTTTTCTCCCTTGCTTCTGAAAATTACAAGATCACATCTAAGGTCACCTAACTTCTTACTAAATGAAAACTTTAAATTCAGTTAAGGAACTTATGGAGAGGGAAAATAAATGATCAAGAACTTAAGGAATTCACTGTGTCTTAAATTAGATTGTTATTGAAGAAAGCCTAAGGAAAGAATGTGCCTGAACTACTACTTCAGTGGGAAAGGCGCTTCAAATATCTTCCTGTGTGAAAGATCCCTCTGCGAACCTGACATGCGTTGGTTCAACCTCTTTACTAACCGCCCACTACAAAACTAAATGAAGTTACCTTTTCCAGACCAAGGATCCACGCAAGCACTTGACTGCCATTGAAAGCTACTGTTCCAGGACTTTCCAAATCAGGACTTGGACTAGGAAATACTGTGGCTAGAGAAGAAAGAACATATTAAAATTCTAAACATATACACAAAAATGGGCAGGATCACATAAGAATCCATAACTCTCCTTTGTAGCCTCATAAACCCCACAGCAAGAATGTGCTTAAACATGCCTCTTCCATGAAACTTTTATTTTGGCAAAATGGCACATTCCATGGGTTTTCTTTCCACATAAAATTGTGATAGCTTTGGTTCGCCCCTGTTGTTTCTCCCAATCATTTATACGTCATTTGCTTTCATTCCAGTTTGTGTCATTAAACTTCATCACCAATGTTATTACCCCATAAAGGGAATAATTTCTGTGCAGGACAGGAGGATTTGAGGTGTCTCCACTAGCTCCAAAGATCTATTATATTCAACATCTGTTTAAAGGATCTGCCAATGCACATCTGGTGATAATGGTCTTTCTTTTTAATTATCCGATAGGGATGCTGAAATCTGCTTAGCATCGTAAATTCTCTCCTCCCCAAAGTGCTTTCTGGATGATATTTCAGATCAAATGAATGGGATAAAGCAGTTAATTCAGACTATAGTATATTCTAATTAAGCAATTTCCCAAGTGACCTCATCTAATACTGTTTATAATGTGGTAGAGTTTTCTGGGTTTAGAGCATTAGCTGGATGAAGTGTACGTTCATATTGATATCATGGATGTTCAGTAAGCCAGTATGTTGACTTTTATAAATTTTATACCTAAGTATTTGCTATCCTCCCGAAGAATCTTAGTATTCAAGATACCAAAAACTCATCTTTAAAGCTTATGCCTTATTCTGGTGCCCATGGGGCTGAAATATTTACCATTTGATTCCTCTAAGCTGAGGCAATATATGTGGGAGATAACTAGACAGGGGGAGAAACATTAATCTGTGCCTATTGAGCAAAGCAAAGCTTACTGGACCATAAGTCCATAGCCTTATTTGCACTGTGCTTTAACCTTCTCAACCACATACCCACAGGTCATTCATAACGAAACATTAGTTCTTCAAAACCATCATGTTCCTACTAAATGCCCAGGATTTTATTCATTTAGTTCATCAACTTGTTATGGAATGTTATTTAATATTATAGTGTCTTAAATATTCCACGGCAGTTTTAAAGATGTTCTTTGTTCCCCAGAGCACGATCATATTCCAGCACAACAATATTTATTGTGTTCACTAATATATCCTCTGTCCCTAGGACATTGCAGCATATGATAGTAGGGAGCTAATATATATTTGTCAAGTGAATATAAATTAGTCTTCTGGTTTTAGAGTTTCAGGTTATGAACAGATTTCAAGACCACAGCATTAGTGTCACTTGGGGGTAATGCTTAGAAACCTGTGTTTTTAGGAGGTAAGTTGGGAAAATTTCTTATACAAAAAAGGTTTGAGAGCTACTTTCCTAGTTATGAAGCAAATAAAGAATCACACTGAAGATTGTGAAACTGAGTATTAAGTAGAAAGAAGAAGCACACAGACCAAGGAGTAGTGGCCAAGAAATTAGTCTAACACTAACTCTTCTGTAAGTCTATTGACACAGCAGTTGATATTTTAAAGTCTTATATTTGTGACTTGTAAAATGGAAAGATTGGACAAATCTCTAAGATACTTTCTAACAGTTGTACTACTGGGTTTTCTGGACATCCCAAGATCATTGAGTTGTATACAGCTCAAGAGTTAAGATTCAGTTCTGGGACAAAAAGAAATTCTCAACATCTAAGTTTCTGCTCATATAGAGATTTTCAGTAAGAATTTCTTTTGCAATTCCTATGAAGAATTTTGCATAATTATAACACTACATTCAGGTAACCATGAGGAATATTTAGAACTCTTATGGATACTCTGAACATTCCACTTCTGTTTGGAAAGGCTGAGGAATAAACCTCTTAGAGATTAGGCCTAACTGGTTCTAAAAGGCCTTTTCTAAATTCTATAGAACAGAGTAGCTTACCTGGTGATGTGTGTCTTCTGTCTGGAACTTGAGTGCTCTGGAGTGGTAAATTGCTGTTCTTTGGGTTGGATGATTTTTTCATAAGTTCACTGGAAAAGAAAAAGCAAGAGCTCTATAACTTCACTCACATTAAGTTTAGTTAGTTAAAGTAATGTATTGTGTGACAGATCCAGATTGTCCAGTAATTTCCTGATTTTTCATCTACCTTCTAGGACAGTGAGGAAGAACTCCCTTAATCACACACCAAAGAATATATAAACTTTCCTACAAGGTGAATTTTTGGCCATAGAAACTGACCTAGATAATGTATACACATAACCAATTTTATTTTAATCTTGTAGAAAGGAAATTAGTTGTAAAAATAGAGCCAAATATTGCAAATATTTATGTTTTTTCTCTTCAGTAGTTGGATTCCAAATGGATTAAAGTCCAAGAGTATTATGAAGACTGCAACAAAAGCCTATTTATTTGTCAATAATGAAAGAAAAACAGTTTTGTATGTTAAATTATAGATGGCATTTTAAAGATTTTTCAGAGTTGATTAGTACTTCTAAAATAGATTAAGGAAGAAGGAAAAAACCAAACATTTATTTAGTATGCTCCAGGAACTGTGATTGGTGTCATCACAGGTTGGGTTTACTTTTGAGAAAACTGGGTTTATGTCAGATATGAAAGGAATAGCATTAAAACAGATTTTCAGTTCTACCAAGCAAGTCAGCAAAATGATAATAGCTTTGTGGCATCAGGAATTTCTGTACAATGCATCACACTAGCTTTTGGAAGAAAATATTATTGGACATTTGCACAATTTAGTAGTCCTCTTTTTAAAAATTCACTTTCTATTTACTTATTTATAAAACAGAAATAATTATATTTTCTTGAAAAGCTGGATGTATCTCAAAATAAGTTACTGAAAAAAATTAGAGACATTTCACAGGTGAAATCAGTGCAAACATCTAAATATGAATGATTTTATGAATTCTGAAAATGGTGAATTTTCTATGGTCATTTATTAAAAAGCATAATAAAGATACATAAAGATAGCAAGAAGTTTTACCTACTATTTATAAGTTTTATCTACTATTGTGGTTTAGCTTGACTTCTGTTTTAGAAATAAGATCTTTGTGATTTAAAATGAAAAGTCATGTTTTGTGTACATATTCCTTTTATACATTCATTTCATCACAAGAAGAAGTAATATTTATATCTCTTCTCCAGTATTTTTCTATATTCCTCTTAAAATGTACTGGTTGTTACAAAAGTTGTGCATTTTAATATATATTTGAATTATTCATGACAATGACTGTATTCTCCTCAATCTTTCTACATTCCGTATGCTATTTCAGTGGGAACACCACTCAGATGAAAATAAGAACTGACCTGAACTTTGTTCCCTTTCTCAAAAAGAAGTTTCAGAAAGTTTGAGAAAGTTGGGTTTATTTTTTCTTTTTCTTGATTTTTTAAAGTTCATATTGCAATACTATAAGGAAAACTACTGAATATCAATACATTTTGAAAATAAAATGAAAAACTGCCTTCATAAAAATTTTAAGGACCAGGGACAGCAACAAACACAAAAGGGAAAAATGACCAAGATCGAAATACCAATGACTGAGCAAGAGAAAATAGACTGAATAATAAATAGATGTGGGGGAGAAAACCGAACGAAGAAAAACAAGTGATTGAAGAGGTGACTGGAATCTGAAATAGCATGCTCATGGAGCAGCAAAAGCTGCATCTGGTCCACAGAGAACAATCCAGAATCTTGTGTTCTAGTCTTCCTACCAATCTTTTTCTACACCAAAACAGAGTAAGCTCATTTCCTTCCCAGTAAACAGTTGGCTCAGCAGATTTGAGCTGCCTCAGCAGTAAAGTGGCTGCATCAGACAAGGAATCACGGAGGTTCCCTTTCTAAGGTGACCTTTCTTGGACCAGGAAGTATCCATGGTAACATAGTTGCTCATATCCTATCATTTGGCTTTCAGTGGAAGTGAGGACTTCAGATATCCTGTGTGATTTGCTTCTCTTCTTCCTGAAAAATATCCTCAATTTTATTATGATTTACAAAATGAGGTATAATGGCTTGTGTCCACTCCCATTAGACATCAAAACTGTTTTCTTTACATAAAAAGGAAACCACAAAATGAATAAGAAACAGGGAGTATACAGGTAAGAAATGTGAAATAAGGTTATCAGTTGGTATACAAATTACTTCCCTCAAACAAAGGTAATTAATTCTGTTAAATTAGTAAGAAAGCCATAAAAGGAAAGTCAGTCTTATGGAACTAACGGCATTCTCTGAACTTTCTAATGATCTAATGGTCATGCTTCTAGAGAAAGAGCTATATACTTCTTAGCAGGATGGGCCACAGACAGTACCCTTTCCATTATTTCACAAACTTATCCTGCACAAACTTATTTACATCCCTAAGTAACTGTTGCCACTACCTCTCCATTCTAAGCTATGATATCTTTGAGAACAGGCGCCATGTATCATTCTTTAAGTTCCCAATACGTAGCACAGTAAATAGGGGACTACAAGAGCTGGCGGCTGATAGAATACACAGCCTGTACTGCTGTGGCATGACAGAAAAACCTCTGGAGCTGGAGGACCCCTTTGGAACTTCAACTTTGTCTCTTCCCAAAAATTCTCAGCCATTGTGAGTCTCATCTACATAGCAGGACTGCAAATACCTATCTTACAAAGTTGTGAGTATGATACAGCAAGAAATATGGGTACAGGGTGTCTGCGTGGGCCCTGTCATCACAGGCATTCACTACCATTACCTTTTCATCAAAAATATAGTCCATCTAGAATCTTAGAACCTTAAGAATGCAGAATGGATGTGCCCTATTATTTTATAGCCCTGGAACCTGCAAGCATTGACTAGCAAATTAGGACGAGGCATCGGACCTTGCCCAGGGTTATATAACTCCTTCACTTTATGGGTTTTAAAATTTTCATTATCTATATATAAAAGGAATTTCTATCAGTAGTAATGATCAATTTTCCCCTCCTTACACTGGCAAATTCTTGAGAAAAATCTACACTGTACTGGACTAGCAGATGGTAGGATGTTTAGCACATGGCCAGCACTGTGTGCTTGGTAATAAAGAATATCACTTGAAACAATTGATGGCTGAGGTATCTTTTCTAAATGGCTTTGGCTGGCTCTCCACTGATACCTAGCTGATTCTGCAAGTTTCCTTGGGAGAGGAAGCATCCAGGGAATCTTATACTGTATCTGGCATATTCATTCATTAACTCATCAACATTTATTAAATTATTTTTATATGTATTGCAGTGAGCAAATCAAATAAGAAACCCAGGGATTACAATAAGTTAATGGTAATGGATAAGAAAGGGCATGCACAGAGGATAATCACAACATGTGACAGGGCCCCCAAATCTGAGTTATCACTGGTAATTTTGTAGACTAGAATCAGAAGCCTATTTCAAGACTTTTGTTACCTCAACACTTTTCCTTCACTTTTTCACCAGAGCAGTGGTTCTCTTCCAGGGACAATTTTGCCTGCACCCTATGGGGATATTGACAATGTTTAGAGACATAGTTGGCCATCATAACTGTAAGGGACAGAGTGCTAATGACACCTAGTAGATAGAGACTAAAGATGCTTCTAAACAATGTAAAGCAATCCAAAGGCTTATCCATCCCAAGTGTCAATAATGTCCAGGCTGGCAAACTCTGCACTAGACTGCACAAAACTAGTTCAGTGACAAGCTTTCCCCACTCCACTTCCCAAGACCAGCTTAAGAGACTTAACAGTATTGCTCTGAGGGAATCACGGAGTCTACCTCTTACTGGATACTTCTGGGATGTATATTAAAGCACTATGCAGCACTAAGAAGCCCTACAAATTTGACACATAGGCCAGTCTGACTTTAGAAAATTCAACTCTGGAAGTGAGCTGAGAATGCCTGACTCAAGTCACCAAGTGATAATGGCATCATTTAACCAACTTTTACTGGACCAAGTTGCATGTACACTACCATGGGGTTGGCTGAGAACCTTTTCTTGAAAATGCTGAAGACAAGGACTTTGCCTCAGTGGCGTTTATGGATCGATATTTGGAAAGGAATCCAATAAAGGAAACATCTTGCACTTAAGAATTCTATTACACTAGGAGGAAAACTAAACCCAGAATAGATTTGACTTCTTCTCAGACATGTCTACCAACAGTTACATTTGGGAAATGTCACATTTATATATACTACCATAACGGTACTGGATGTCAGTATTTCCTGTGAGAGGGAAAAAGTACCTGGATAGGTGATATCCGTGTGTGTCACGGTAAGTTCTGTCTATAAAAGGAACCTTTGCTAGGAAACAGACATATGGCAGCTTCTGAAAGGAAAATTCTAACAGTTTTTTTCTCTTAGGGTGAGTTAAATTTTTCTATGTATTTTTCCTTTTTCCTCACAATTATATTTATATCATTATGTAGTGACATCTGGAAAGAAGACGTGAAATATGTTCTAAACCCACTTCCGATGTCAGCTTCAGATGATATTCATTATTGACCTTAACTACAGGTAGAGACTCAGGACACTCAGATGGTCGTTGAGGACCAAGTGGTGTTTGATTCAGCCATTATTCCTGGCTATCCCAAAGCAGGACACTCACAGGAGATTTTTAATTATCTTACATTTCCTCCTGACCTTCATCCTTTAAAGATCATCTGTGCTCCAGATATAATCTGAGTTTGTCCTCATTCAAAACATCTTCCTCCTCACAATCCAGCCACAGTTAAGATTGAGAAGTGCTTTAATTTGTCCTGTCCTAGAGTCTTTTATGTGCTTAGGAAAGACTTTAGAGTTATGTAACCCGAACAAATTGATTTCTAAAAGTTTTCAGAGGCACTCGGCTGGGCAGATAAAGAAATATTTCAGGGGATGAAAATGTATTGGGAAGAGGTGGAATAGGGAGGAAAAAACTCACAGTGTCTTCTGAAGACAGTGTACAAATTCTGTTCTATGGGCAGATTCATTTGGCAACCCTACAAGGAAAGTGGGGTGTATGCAGTGATCCATAGACTCTATCACAGTTAGAAGCCATGCCATCTCCCTATTCCTCTGTGATGACTTGTGTGTGCCTCCCTCTATTTTTCTCTTTCACTTAGTTCTGAGATTCTTCCTCCATGACCTATCTCAAACACCCCTTTTTTTATTCTGCTAGAATACATGCTAGCTGTCCTTACTAATCATACCCTTAAATGCCTCTGGGAGAACTATCTTGACATCTCCCCACCCAAACACCCAACAGTATGATCCACAGTCCTTGGACTCAAACACTGTCCTAAGAAACCTGTGTAAATGATCTCCCTCTGTGTCCAATTTTGTGGGCACAGTGAGAGCTAGACAGTCATCACATTTACCATGTTATAAGTAATTTACCAATCATCTTGTCTCTCTATCCCAATTGGTTTGTAAATTCTACAGGGCATGAAATGTGTCTTATTCATTTCTGTACATACAGGGACTTGCATAGTCTCTAGCCCATTGTACAATTCAATCATTCTCACTGAATGACTGAACAATTTGGGCTGTATGGCGCTTAATACACTCTTCCTGTTTGTTCTTAGAAAATGAATTTGAACTTTTCTTTTTATACTAATTCTAGCTAAAATAGTTAGTAAGTGGTTATAGTTCAAAATTAAAACCATATGAGACCCATAGATCCTATCTCATCATGCAGTCAGTTGAGAGCAAGCACCCGACTTACATCCACTTGTCTTACATTCCCAGTAATTAGATTAATTTCGGTACTCATCTATATTTTTCAATATTAAATACAACCCTTGACTAATTAAAAGTTATGCCTGAATAAAGTTCATTAGCTATTCTTCAAGTTCTGTGGAAGGTGTACAACAGAAGAAAGGTATAAATTTAGACACCATGATTCATGGATGAGGGTCAACCAGGATAAGAAGCACATCTGTAGAGACAGTTTCTCCCAGCTTCCGCAGGACTGCTGAATCACTTCTCCAAATAATGACCTTGTGAGCCCCGGGGATGCTCTCTGCCATTCACTAACTGTGTGAACTATGGTGTACTCAAGGGCTCCCACTGTTTGATGTATTCCTAGAGGCACTGTAGGGGAAGGACAAGGGTAAGATCTGTGCAAAAGAGCAAGAAAACCATAAATGTAAACATTTCTGTTTGCAGATGCCTAGGTACAGTGCGGAATTTTTTTTAAAGCCCCTAATCCTGAAGCTAATACCTTGAGAAGTATGAATTTAATAACAGAAGGCTGGTGCTAAAAGCAAAAATCACATCAAAACTCTTGGCGACTGGCCAGTGAATAGTGACTGCAGTGTGATCTTGTCTTCCAGAAGAGCAGTCTATTAAAAGAAACATGGTGGGCCTCTTTTGATGAGAACGAAAGTGACACTTGTTTCTTCCCTTACAGTACAGAAACAGAAGACTGTTTTGTTTCTTAATGAAGCTATGCTGTTGAATCTTCCTTCACTAGGAAAAAGCAATTTGGTGGGATGGTTTACTCAGTAACCATGCACCAGCTCCATTGCATAGCTATATAAAGCATAAAAGTTAATAGCATGGTGGGAATATCATTAATACAATTTATTACTGTACATAATTTCGTAAATTAAGCTCCAATTACTTGGTAGCTCAGAAAAAATACTGAATATACAGCAATATACAACTTGAGCTAGACAAATTACCTTAAGTTTAGAATAAAAGTAAAAAGATGTAGACATGACCAACTATTCAGAGAATAGTCAACAGAAAATAAACCTCAACTTTAATCTTACTTCCAAAACCAACATATATCACCCCACCCTAATGAATTAGATTCACTATACAATCACAAGGAAAACTATTCCTTTGAAGGGAAGAATATTTATGCTCCATACACAGTGTGTATGTGTGTGTGCATATGTATGTGATTAACTATACCTTTCATAGTTCTTCATGGAGGAAAAAAGGTATAAATAAGAAATTACCAGGTGAGACTGCAATCCAACTGTCCAATTTGTAAATGATGTGTGTTCACGTTTTTAACACATCTTTTAAGGTTTGCTTCACAAAGTGTCCATCTCAATTACACCTGTTCAGGAAGGTATTTGTTTGTTTGTTGTTTGTTGTTTGTTATTACTCCAGCTGAAAGCTCCTGCTCTGAACATGGAGAGAATGTAGCTCAGAAATCCTCTGGCACTCCTCATTGCACCATGTCCTATTATCACTATTGGTTTAATATTTCCCTTCTTCAGCTGGAACATTGGCATAAATCATGCCTAATTTGTCACTTATGCAGGGACGACTATGAACTCTCCAACAGCAGAGAATGCTGTTCTTCCTTTCATCTCACCTTTACACAGATTGCACCAGAGGATACAGGCTCTAGATGGATTTAATCTCTTACAGAAACATACACTGATATAATGTTTGCATCCGTTACAGCATGCTGTTCTCAGAACAGTACATCATGTCATTTCCTGGCCTAAAACTTCCCAATGGTTTCTCGCTATAGTAAAAATTCAAATCCTTTTATGTCTTCCTCCTTGGTTGGGTCTGCATGCTCTTTCCCTTGTGCTTCCTGTGAACACATCCCCATCCCCTCTGAGCGCCCCTCACAGGGCTCCAGCCATGTTAGCTGACTTTCTGTTCCTCCGAATGCTTGGGTCTGTCCCCACCTCAGAGTCCTTCTTTTCCAGATGCTCACATGCTGCTAACAGCGCCTCTTCATCCATCTAGTCTTTATCTAAAATTTGCCTTCAAGCCGAGGACTTTTCTTACCACCCTATTATTTGGTTTTTACTCTTGGGTTTTTTTTTTTTTTTTCCACTACTAGGACCAAACCCAAGGCTCTACATATGCTAAGCAAACCCCATGCCACTCAACTACAGTATAACTCCATCCCTCTTGCCACTGTATTAAATCCCTCTCTTCTAACTTACTTTATTTTCTAGCAGGCACAATTATTATCTTATTACACTATTTATCTATTTGCCTCTTCATTTTTTGCATTGTCTTTCACTCAAATGCAAGTATCAAATGCTAGAGAAATTATCTTCTTCATCTCCGTATCATAGCGCTTGAAATGGTGCCTGGCATATGGAAACATCTCAGTCATTATCTCTTGAATAAATTAATAAATGAATTAAGGAACATCAGAACTGTTCTAAGCAACAACCCTAATTACCTTATTAGAACAACAGAATTTGTGTGAATTAGCAGCCCACCAATTAACTGTCCCAAGTTGTTTCCCATGACAATTCTTGACATGTTTATGTTTGATGCTAAATAGCTTGCAGTTGTTCTTTCTTAAAATGTCCGCCATATTGTGTGATGACCAAAATCATGATGATGCTCTTTAAAAAAAGAATTTAATATTTAAATTTGATGTATCATTTTTGTTGTTTTTGTGTTGTTTGATTTTTGTCTTCATTGTTGTTTTGGTAGGTTTTTTTAATCTTCAAAATTAAAAGAAATTTTTTTTAAAAAAGAACCAAATATCTCCGGTTATACATTAGTGTAATATTTTCTCAGAAGTTACTTTAAAAAAATCCCTAACAGAATGATCCCATGGTCAACTCAATTATAATATTGCTCTCAGTTCTATAGACAAGTAGGCTCCTGGGATTTTTTTTTAGGTACAGAATCCCAAGAAGGAAAACTGTGGTTGTAAATGATCAGGCTGGAAATGGCCGACATTCCCTACCTTCATTCTTCAGCAGCTTTTCATCCCATAAAATAGAGCACACATTAACCTAATTTAAAGGTTGTTGTTTAATTATGTATACTTTCAACTTTATTACTTTGAATTTGGAGACCCTTAATTTTCTTACTTGCACTTTCTGAATTTTATTATATCTGGAAGTACCACTTGGAGTAATATAAATGTGTCATTCTTCTTGGGGATAATACCCCTGTAGCTTATCTTATGCTTGTGAGTAAGTCTTAGGACAATGTGTGATCGACAATGTGGTGGGAACATCTTTGAGGGAAGTAAAGTGGAACGTTTTAGCCACTCATCTTAAAAAGCAAAATCTGAGTAATTCACTGAAAGTGGAGTGTGCTTGATCTCACATAATTATATCGACTCCAAAGTGTACTTACCTTGTGCTTTCACATTTACATCACCAGGGAAAACGCAGTCTTAACTATTTACATGATGGATTTGCAGGACGGTTTTCTCATAAGAAAAAAAATATTTAAGCTCTCAGAAAAACTCAATACATTTGGGAAGTTCCCCTACCTGTCTTTAAACAGCTCATCTTTGATCCCTTTCCTGCGAAGCAGATCTAGTGGCCCATAGGGGGTGTCTTTGCACTTAGAGTCTGTGTCACAGAGTAGGGTTTGCAGGAATGGGAAGAATCCAGTACTAGGAAGGTTTCGAGGTGCGAGGTAACCTGAAATTTAACAAAACAATATTGACATCACTATGACATGTTTGCTGGAAGAAAAAAATATGGTAATAACTCCACTTTGTTAAATTCTCTGTTCAGTATGACTGTCTGTGACCTCCAAACTCAACCCATCTCAGCAGCTGAACTGAACTATGCAATAGAAGCCAGCCTGAAAGATATTTTGCCTTGACTTTTTAAAATTTGCTAGCATGACTCAAAAGACATAAAAATATTTGTTGTCCCATTGATTACTCTTTCTGGATTTACTCTGAGGAAATACTTACAGGCACTGTTGCAGTTAGGGGTGTCATGTCAACGTGATTGGCTTTGGATCTACCTGGGGAATTGTGATGCACATTTCTGGTTGTATCTGGGTGGGCCATCGAGGCGTGGCCTTGGGTTATATGTCTCTTGCCTTTTTCTCCCTAGGTCTGTTTCCCTGCTCTGCTTCCTCACTGCCTGGAGCTAAGCAGGTTTGCTCCTCCACCATCATGTTTCTGTCTTGGAGACAGCTGACCATGAACTGAAAGTGTAAGTCAAATTAAACATCTCTTCTTTTAAGTTGTGGTTGTTGGGTATTTTGTCCCAGCAATGGGAAAGCTGGATAATTTCAAAAATGTTTCCTCAAATATTTTAAAAATAAATCACATTGTATATATATATATATATATATATATATGATAAAACACACTGCAGCATATAAAATTTCAATTCATATGAAAAAGTTCAGTGTTCGAAGGAATAGATTAGAGAACAGAATATATTTTATGAGCATATGAACAGATAATTGTAATTTCTTAACATACATTTAAACACATGTATAATAAAAACCTGACATTATAAAAGAGCTTTGATGGCTTTTTTTGCCTACATGGTATATCTCACATAATTTTTATTTACTTTTACTGCATGTTTACTCATGTCACAATGTACATTGCTATTTCTGTAATCAAAATATATATAGATGCAGCCAACTTTTCAGATACTGTACTAGGAAACTTTTTGGTCTCTTCCAAATATAATATTTCTATTATCCTATGTGCACAATTTTTTTCCTTTTTAAAAATAATGCAATTAATGTGAAGGAATAAGTAGATTTTCCCCAAAATTAGTGATAGGAAACAACTACAATAGTAAAGGCATTTATTATATTTACTTTAATGTTTATTTTACAACATGTAATGGTGGCAAGACATTTGGCAGAGCTACAAAATACAAATTTTTTCCATTAGGTCTGGTATTAAAACACTAGAGTCCTCCCTTTCAGAAAATACAGAGACTACAAACTTTCAAAATAGGCAGGTCTAGAAACCTCAAGGGAAAATTCCAAACTGAAGTCCAACAAGCGAAACCTGAATTTCTTCACAAGTCTATTAAAGAGCGTCAGTGATGTCTGCCTTCATTTTAAAGAGGAAGAAGCAAAGCTTCTTAAAAAATGTTAAAAGCAACACGACTGCATTTATACACTAGCAGAGAGCATAATAAACAGAAAGTTAATCCAAGTAACTTAAATACAGATCTGCGTCGAGAAAGAAACTGGAAAGAAAATGAAAGGGACTGTAGGATTGGCGGCCAGAAGAAAAGGAAAGAGGATTTTTATCAGAAAAAAGCAATTTTGGAAAATGCTGTATTATTAACTTTGGAGATGGGGAAAGGCACCAAAAGGCAAGGAACAAAGAAAACATTAGAAGTCAGAAAAGGCGAGAACACAGATTCTCCCCTAGAAAGTCCAGAAGACATGCAGCCACGCAGACACCTTGATTTGTAGTCAACTAATATTATATTCTCAGCATCCAGCTTGCAGCATGGTCAATAATAAGTACTGTTATTTTCCTGTGTTTTTTTTTTACAATTATATTTATTGGTATATTTTAGGTACACATAATGATCACATTCATCATAGGGAATTTGTTCAAAACATTCAATTTGTGATAATTTATTACAGCAGTCATAAGTAAACAGTATGGATGCTAATACTGGTATGAATGGAAGTTTTGAAAACTTGGAAAAAATTAGACAGAGCTTAAGTCCACCAAACTGTTCATGAGTACCTTCTAAGCAGAAAGATCAGTACTTTGCCTAATAATCAACCCACAGAAGGCTGAGGTGGATCCATTGATTCCCATCAAGGTTCTTCCCGTGCAGCTCCCTGAACAAGCTAGAGAGGAGCAGTCATGTTGCCTGTTAGCTTTTCACACATCCATCTAGAGTGAACTCCTGCCGTGATGAACTGCTTACAGCAAGGCCTTTGAAATCTGTACAGGAAGTTCACTATCCTGGTACTCCACCTTCTAACACAGAACCCAGCTCTAGCACTCACTCGGGTTACAGGTCTCCAAATAGGCTTGTTCCTGCTCAAACACACATCTTCTTCAACTGGGAAAATGGGAGGTAGATAGAAGGGCAACAGAAATGGATGATCAGATGATCTCACTGATTTATTTAGCATCTCCTGTATCCTTTGTCACTAAGCATAATGGTTTGGCTGGGTGAGCCAGTGCTAAAGTCAGTGGGAGCTCAAGCAAAAAGCAATGTCAAGAGCGGGAAGAGAGAAGATGGAATGGGGAGAAGAGCCAGGAAGAGGTGGCGCTTCACACCCAGTGCTATCTTTCCTGGCATTGATTACAGCTTGTGACATTTGAAAGGAATTTGAAGGAATTTAAATCCACAGCATTCTTTGATGTGATATGGCCAGAAGATAAGCCTACTTTATAGAAAATTTGTCACAGGGTTTCTTTAACAATAAGCTCCCAGGGTGCTGAAAATACAGACAGTTGATGCCTTGTACCGATTTTTAATAAATGATATTAAACTCATTAGAATGGGATTTTGCAAATGAGAAATTGGTTCAATGAAGCACAAGTTTCAGTTCTCACAATGCCACGCAGAGCACAGACTGCCACATCTTTTACTTTAACCTTTCACCAAGGACTGCACTCACTGGGGTGAGGGGACTACTGAAGCAACCACAGCACTGATTAAGGAGCTCCTGGATCCCATGTACTATGCTAGGCAAGTAACAAGTGTTTACATAATTCTTTCTTCAGTGTCCATAATTTCTTATACACATCAACTTTTCTCAAAACCTGGAAATCCTCTAGAACTGAAAAATCAGAATTAAAAGCATTTCAACTTTAGCACAGCTTTCCTGTGAAAAGTCACTGACTTTTAAATTTTTTGTCCATCTCAGTTATGTGTGGAAGGAAGCAACTGTCAGAACAACAGTGCAATCAAACCATCAAATGTTTGCAAGAGCCACTAATTTTAACTCGAACTTATTCTATTCTGAAGGTATCTCTTACACTTTCAGTTCCTAAAGTAATGTTTCCCTTTATAGTCCCAAATGTGAAGATAAAGGTAACATTTCTCCGTCTTTCACAAAACTTCTCATAGAAAGCATACAGAAGGCAAAGTTAAAGCTAATCCTTGGTGTCCCTGGCCCCAGCAAAGGACAGACTGAAGGAAAGAAATGAAAGAAGATCACAATGATGCAAGCCACAGAACATCTAGCAGATTAAAAAAAGAAAGACTTCGGGGGCTTTCCAGGATGTTAGGCTGGATAAAGTTCTTGATCTGATGACTCTCAAAAGTCTCACTCCCAGGAAAGTGTTTATGCCTCTCTTCAGGAGGAAAGCTACTGACAACCCCACCAATTACATGGGGATCAAATTCAGAAGACTCCAACATAGTCTGGAGGTGGGATAGGGATAGGGTGGTGAGAAATAAAATCCCAAGCCATTTAGTTTCTCAATAGCACTAGGAAGAGGCAGTCAGCACTAACCCCCATGGGTAAGGAGAGGTCGTTCCTCTAAAATGGATACGGGCCACATTACTAGGACAGTCCATCTTAACATTGACACAGTCCAGTTCTGTTCTGGAGAGTTGAGTCAAACCAAAGCACAAAATAACCTTAAGAACAAACCACAAATTTACCAAGGTTTAAACTATATCATATTTATTCTCCATGCTGTTAGAATGAAGCCAGATTATTAAAAGATTCAGTTCCAAGAATTTTTCAAACTATAAACTTTTTACGCAGTTATGATATCAACTAATGCATCAGTGTTTATTTAAAACAAAGATCAAGTTTTGAGTGTTTTCCCTATTTTGCACAAAGCCCTTTATTGGGAACAATATTTATGTGCTACAATGTGAAGATGAAGGCATGGTTCTCAAGAATGTGGGCTCTGGACCAATAACATCAGCACACCCAGGGAGTTATTAGAAATGAAATTTTCAGGGGTTAGGGATGTAGTTCAGTGCTTTGCATGTGCCAAAGGCTCTGAGTTCAATCCCCTTCACAGCAGGAAAGGGAGAGAGAGAGATTTCAACCTCATTCCAAACTTTGCAGGGTTCTGTGTTTTTATGGGCACTTCAGGTAATACATCAAGGTCTTTGTTCCCCTACATTAGACTACAAACTTTTTCTTAAAAATCAGACAGTAGATATTATGATCTATGAGTAGCATTGTCTCCATACAATTACTCAGTTCTGCAACTGTAGTATAATAGCAGCCATGGATGATGTGCACATAAGCAGACCTGGTTGTCCTCCAGTAAAACTGTACTTACAAAAGAAACAGGCATTTAGCTCGATTTGGCCCATGTCTCTAATTTGCTGTCCCTGGGAGGATAAACCTGCCTGCGAATATCCCTTTTTCTCTCTTGCCTTGCTCATTTCTTGTTTTCATTTTTCCCCACACTTTTCTCACCTCAGTGCACCCAATCTATTTCATCTCCCCTTTCTTCTATTTATTAATCTTTTCTATTTTCCTTTGTACCCACCACCTCCTCTCTTTACTGAATCTCCATTTCTTTTCACTTTCTCCTGCTGCTCCCTGTGTTCCTCCTATTCTTTTTATTCATTGAAGTAGCTAAGAATGCAACTGTTGTCCAAAGTCTTTCTCTACTACTTTATTTTTTAAATTTTTACTTTAGTATAATTTTTAATAAATTCAAGAGCACAAAGCGATGTTGCTCATTGGCACTGTTTAGAGAAGTGAT